GGGGGGGGGTCATGGGGTTTGACTCCCCCCCCATGGTAATATAATATAATATAATATATTATACTATATTATATAATATTAATATTAATATAATCAATAGTGGTCCGGGAAATATTCAAATTTTTTGTTCAATATAATAAAATCTGAAACTATTCTAATTTGGCAATACTGAATAATCGGCGTTCATGATGAATTGTATGATAAAACTGAAATAGAAGTATTGTTACAATAAATACGATATTTAATTTTATTATACCATGTRTTTGGTCCTCGTAATAATCGGCCACAGATATATATATTAAATATTTATTATATCTGTGTAATCGGAACTATCCACCTTGGTGTTTTCATACAAAATTATCCATCGTTATATATCCTGCTTACACTTTGTTCAGAGCACGTTGATATTATCTTATTTGCCAAAAACTTTGTAATTTGTATAATTATTTCAGTATTTACCGTGTTGTGACATTAAATAAAAAATGGTAAAGAAATCTCTCACTCTTTTACGGTTAGTGAGTTTGATTCAGGTTCACTAAAAAGGTTAAAGATATCGATGAGTCAAATAAAGTTGATGACAAGAAGGTAAGACATACACTCATACACAGGTAAAATATAAATGCTGATAACTTACACTTCTAAAATATACAATATAGAACTATGAAATACCTATATTACAAAAATATTACTGCTGTCTGTTTGGTTAATGTTAATGTGCATTGTGCATATTTTTTGTCTTTGGTTATGCTAGTAATGAAGTTGGAACCAGAATAGACTCCGTCTATTGTACCAAAAAATTATGTAAGCTTGTTTACTAATAACCTTATCTGACATCGAAAAGCATGCAGTGAGTGCATATTATACGAGTCGAGTACTAATTTTTTTACATCATTCATATTATAGCATATAATGTGTATTATCTATAATAAATATGTGATATGTATAGGTAGTACCTAAATTTTATATTATTAAATGATCTACTAAAAATATTAAGTGAACCCCCCTCCCCCCCCCATAGAAAAATCCAGAGCACGCCTCTGGTTATAGATAAAATAAATATCATACTTTACTTGGAATCTCTTTATTTGTTAATAAGGTTCTTCATATCACTTTAATATTCATCATCCATAAATATATATTTATTTTTCAGAATTCTTAAATAATTGATTACTTATCGTTTACAATGTCTGTTGTAGTTATCGAATATTAGATATGATTACTATTAGTCATTGACATTTATTAACAATTTTATATATTCATTACATTCATACACAATTGAAATATATTAAATAAAAATACCTAAGACAAATTTCGAAGAAAATAATTATTAAGATCAAAATAAATTTTAATGTTTTTTTCCCCGTTCTTTTATTCATTAAAAGTATGATGTGTAATTTTTGCCTTAAATTAATAAATTGAACGCAAACATTCATATTATAATATTGGCTATTGATGTACAACGTTAAAATGGGATATTTTAATTAATATTAGAGATATTTTCACTTTTTCAATTTTCTTTTTGATGTTTATTATACATACAGATAATACACCCGCCCAAGAAATTAAAATTACCTGGATCAAAATTAACACATTGTCGAGTAATATTACGTAAGTAGTGTATTACCGAGCACAAAACAATTTTTGAGAAGTTAAGGTCTCTTAAACTATTATTAAGTTATTTCCTTCAGACTTCAGTGATCCAAGAGCCAAAAATATTGGTACAATACAATATATGACAATTTAGAAGTATATTGATTTTTCATAGTGAATAGGCAATTAATTATATATATCCTCAATATGAATATATATCAATTGTAATCAATACGTGMACATATGACATTTATTAAATAACGAAACAAAATTTCGCAAGTTTTTTCGGGTAAATCGTCAACAGTTTGATTACCTATTTATTATTCTTAGTTAAGTCTTAAATTTGAATTGACTGAACTATCCAGCAACAGAGTGAAAAAACCGATTACAACAGCAGAAAAACTATCATTGACATTGAGGTAATTATAATTCATATACAATATAATCTTATAATAAAACTTTAAAACATAATGTACTTTAATACATTCTTAGTAATTTCACTTATTTACATTCTCATTATCGTTTAATTTGTTATCTTATATGCATAACAAATTTTGTTAAAAATAATTTTTTTAAAAGGTAGGTACGTGGTTACTAGTGAGTCATTTCGCTCGTTATGGTTTAGTTTTCGAATACGTCATACATACGAGTATATCAGTAGAATTGTCAAAGAAACGTTACTGATTTTGAATAAAATTTAAAACCATTACTTTTACCAGATCCAAGTGAAATTGACTTCAAAAAGAAATTGAATTTTGTTACAAGTGGAACTTTCCCAATTGCATTCTGGCCATTKATGGCAAGCATATTAGAGTTAGGAGTCCGGATAATTCAGGGTCATTATTTTTTAATTATAAAGATTTTTTTTCTGTCATTTTCGTGGTAATGGTCGATGCTAACTGTAAATTTGTGATGGTGAATATGTGGTAGTCGGGTATTTAACATAATATGTTGAGGGATGGTTATTTGGAAAATAACAAACGGCATACTACGAATATGACCACGATCAAGAATTACCTTCCAACAGCATGTTACCCATACGTAGAGGAGGTGGATTTTTACATGCGAACAGATTCGAGGTGAGAGAACGATTCAAAACATTTTTTAATGATGAAGGATCAGTATCTTGGCAGAGATAATTTATATACATGTTATACTTATAATTTTTCTTAATATACAAACTAATATTTGTAATTAGGAAGTTATATAATAAAATATTGTAGTAAACTGTTGTAATATTATGTCCATTTAATACTTTAAGAAAAACAAAAGAGTTAGATTTTTTTTAATAATTTGTTTTTATTATGAATTATGATGTAAAAAAATGAAAGAAATGTAAAAATTACTAAGTAACAACGAAACAGTATGTTTACTAAAATATTATTAAAACTTAAGTACCTTTTATAAAGATAGATTTAAATTTTATAAATTTAACCCGCAATCTATCCAGAATTTAACCAGAATTATTGTAGTATGTCGGTGAAGGTGTGTTTTCAAAGTCGTTTGTAGGCGAGAATGTCACGTGTGGTGGTGCGATGGTTTGTAAGTTGATCGATGTAGGGTATGCAATGGTAGACGATGTAGTTTGAGAACGGTCTCAGTCAGATTATGAAATCGGCGATATGCAATTTTGTGGGTTAGAAACTCTGTAGTAATGTTTGTTGTTGGTTTTGTTGGAAGTTTTGAACAGAAAAAAAGCCAGGCTTGGTACTTTGAGGAGGATCAGCATATTTTATAAATCAGTGTCATCCTTATTTTTATTTGCGTTTATAAGTCGTTCGTTTTGCTGTTGAATACTTTGAATAATCATGTTTCGATCTTGAGTTTTTTTTGCTAATATCGCGGTCAGCTTATCCATTTTTGATGTTTCACGATTACCTGAAAATGAGCACCCAGGTAAGTTAACATTACCATCTTTATTTGAAACGTCAACATCAATCTCATCATCAGTATCAACACTTCCATGGACACCGTACCATCACACTTCAATCTTACTCGCAAACATGTTGATAAGATTATTTTTGAAGAAATCGTTAAAGTAACAAAGCTCTAACATCCACAAAAATATCAATTAAGATGAAA